ATTGAGGACCTTTCCTTGTTTTGTTCTCGTGAACCGATGAGGTAGAGAATGGAGCCGTGCCTGCCAGCTATCTAACTGGATGAGAATGATCTGAGTGCTTGACCGTAGCTCGTTTGAGGGGTAACTGCTGCCGACTAGAGTCCGACTAGTAACCAAAAACAAGCACTCGATTCTATGACTGCCAGACTTCCAACTTCCTCACTGGAGCAGCGCCTAAATTGCTGCTGCACGTCGTGCACGTACCTATGTGTTCTCTTCTGTCATGCAAGATGCACGCTGCTGGAACCGAAGGCTTTCGCAAACAGAACTTTGAAATTCGCCCGTAGATTGGCAGCTGACTGTTTGCAATCATAAGGTCAAAAATCGGATTGTAGAACAGTACAGTTCTCATGTCAGGACAACCATCCTGGAAACAAACTGACCAACGTCTATGCAAATTGTAAAAGCAATGTTCCCAAGCGGTTCGGAGGGCTTCGTTCCACAAATCGTAACGCGTCTTAACTTGTCACCTCCTCAAACTGCATAGGCACTCTGAGCTCTGGACGGCGTTAGACGCATTGTGATAGGCTCAATACAAAGCTGACTTCCATACTACGTGTCTGAACACTGGAACTTCGTCGCGGCCTGCCTGTGAGCATGCAGCCTCATTCTTTTGGGACCGTCAGCGTGCTGCATATACCCTCTGAGTTCGAGGCTGTAGATGTCTTGTGGTAGCATAAAAGCAATGCAGGTTTTATGAAAATGCCTCTGAAGACCAAAGCGAAGCGAAGCACAACATTTGAGAGACTTCCGTTCCTGCAGTCCAGGTGCTGCTACAAGCCTACGAGAATTGGACTCTAAGAGCCGAGATGACCTGTTAGAGTGCATGGCCGCTTAACAGAGTCGCTGTCTCACCATCAGCTGAAAACTCTCAATCAGATTGGCGGCTTCAGCAATCAGGTAACCAGCCTCTGCATTCCCGCTCTAGGATTGTAGACTGGACGTCCATCTGCAAGCCCCTATGCAGCACCTCAAACTAGGCGTGTTACAATGGGCCTCGGGACCGAGAAAGCACATATCCTGGTCGGTCTGTGCAGATCACAGCAGATCTCAAGGCTCAGCAAAATTATTCTGAATCTTCCAAAGCTATCTATAGGGCTGAGCCAAATTTTCCTTATTGAGCATGGAACACTTTGTGATGAAATAATGATTGGTACTCCGCAGCACAAAGCCCTTTTTCAAAGCGATGGCAGACTATGTGGATGTCTTCAGACAAAAGAGAGGCCAATCTATCTTGCACCAGAAGGATTTGAGCCCATACCCGTTCCAACCTGATCAAGAGCCCCATTTGCTTGAAGTATTTTCTGAATTTTCTGATTAGACTGGGCTGGTGACCAAGCATCCTGTGAATTGGCGGGCAATGTCCCAGAGGCTCTGGACCTGGTACCGTACTATTCCCACCACACGAAGCCAGAAGAATCAATACTGGCTGCTTGCTACTTTTGCCCCTCCTACAACTTTTCTCCGGCACATGCTGCCAGAAGGCTGGACGAATTTCGATTTTGCGAATTGTTAGTTTGTCGATGCTGGGACAAACAGTGAATCGTGTCAGTACTTTGATCCAGATCGCTCAAGCCGCTGACCAGAAGTGCAGCTCACTTTTGCCTTCTATGCTGGGTTTTCATAATTTTTCGGCACTCAACGGTACAGGGCATCGGCAGCTGAAAGCGCTGGGCACATCAGTGCTCATGCAGGCCCAACATCAGAACAAACATGTGCACTCCCAGGCTGCCAGGGTTTCAGAACTGGGCGAGGCAGTGCCTTCAAGAAATCAATTTCTCGGCTGTGCTTAAAGAAGCAGACGGGACCTGCGGCCAACTAGGCCTTCAGGGATGCTGGCCGTGGGGCTTCACTTCAGCGGCCTTTGGCTCGACTGGGAGGAATCAAAACGGTTTCGCAATGTTTCGCATCTTTCCTTCGACTCATCCTCGCCGCTTACATGTAGGTTCGTGGGAGCAACAATCCTCTTCACTTGTGCTGATGGGTGTGCGCAGTCTAGGCATTCTAGGCAAAGAGAGGCTTTTACAGTGGCGGCGGTCCTGCATGCGGCCCTGCTCGGAAGGGGTGCTTCGGTGGGAACAGCAGTGGCTTTTTTGGGGCATTGTTCTTAAGAAATTTAAGCGCCCCACACAATCCGCTTCCGCTTGGCGGGGAGTCAAGGTGAAATGGTATTGGAAAATCTGCTTGTGCAAAAACATGATAACTGGGCTATATGCTCAGTGGATTTTGGCAAGCGGGACTCAGAGATCGCACCTTGAAGCACATTGTCGGCATGAGGAGCGAAAACATTGTTCTTCGTCTTTCAGTTCTACCTTCACAGCACTGTCTGAATCTGGATCATCCTGAGGCCCCTTTGCAGCTTGCCAAGACTGAAGCAGGCAGGGGGATCGTGTTTGTGCAAGGCAGTCCCGTTGCATAGCAAGTGGCATTGTTTCCATTTGTATGGTTAGTGCCTGCGCATGTCTGCCGCCTGCCTCTAAAATGCTGCCAGGCAAAGGTGGTGCCTCTCGCAGCCCAAGCTTGACGATGATTGCAGACGTCCCTGCTCTTGGTAATCTCACGCATGTCGCAGTGGCAGAACTGTGTGCAGGGTGGGATTGTGTCGTGTGTTGGTCATGAGCGCAAGGTTCCGCAGGTGACCGACCTCGAGGCCTGGTGTGGCTTTCCAAAGTTGATAGGCTAAGGATCTAGATTCTCGCGGCATCTGCTATCATGCATGCTGGTTCAGCTTGCCATGATCTCATAGGCTGACGCTCCAACATGCTGGGCGTTTCCACCTGTATCCACAGGTCTGTGTCATTGAAAGTCAACAACCAGGCCTGGATTTGATTCCCATTGTGTTAATGCAGCGTAATTAGCATGCTTGACACTCAGCTGTTTTGAGTACAACTCACGTTCTGCAAACAGCACCCCAATATGGGTTGCTGATCTTAGACTTCTTTTTCTCATGACACTGTTTCTTCGCAACGATGCTTGCAGGCGCACTGGTTCCTTCACAAAAAGATAAACAGAAGTGCCCTGACAGCATTCCGGAAAGCAATGGGCGAATCCACTGAATCAACATGTTCTGTTTGATACTTGCAAAGCTGAGCAGGCAACCAAAGAAGAATAAGGACAAGGCAGAAGCTGAGAAAGCCAAGAAGAAGAAAAAAGGCCTTGGACCCAACGTATCTCTCCATGCTGAGCTGGTATTCAGCAGCCTTTTTGGCTGACTCCTTGGAAAGGGCGTTCTCGCAGTCCGAGCTTGATCGTTGCAGATGTGGTCACCTCAGCTGCTTTAGCATCGAGTCAGGGAGGTCCAGTTGGGGTCAGAGATTAACCAGGCGTAGCGGAGGTCGGACGAGGAATTCGAACCTGCAATTGCCATGTAACCTCCAACCCTTAAATGCATAGCAAACCCTCAGATGATACAGTGCCCACATCCTCAATAATATAAAACATAAGCTGGCGGGAAAAATGTGATTTATATACGTTATGGAGAGTCCATTGTTTGGCCAACCCCGGAGTGTCTTGATTCTTGGCAGATGTTGCTTCAAGTGTCAAGCTAAATCAATCTCCCAGCAGAGCATCAAATTACAAAACACCGCAAAGAAAGATTCCAGACTTGCAAGCTTGCAGCCACAGCCATAGACCTGCACTTCTGATGCTGCACAATTATCACGGTGTGTGTGTGATTGTGAAGTCAAAGGAATTTTGGGAGGAAAATCTACCTAGTCGGGCAGTTGACTTGGAAACTGGCAGTTGCGAAGTTGTCTTCCGTTTCCCATCCACCCGTCGCCTGTGGCCGTTTCAAAAGATCAAAATCAGGCTCCTTCAGCAGCCGCAGATGTCGACACAAGATTGGAGGCGCCTGCCCGGTTTTGATGGATAGGCCAGACTGAAAACGTGCTTGCACACTACTGTAGAAGTTCTTTGCAGTTCCCTGTAAAGGCAGACAAACAGAGTGAGGACAGTATGATCTTGAATATGCAGAACGTGTGGCGTCCCTTGTAGGACCTTCTTAAAACAGGTCTTGTTTAAGGCCAGGCCATTCAGGATGGCTCACGGCGATTGTGTGATCTCAGTGATGACCGCGCCTGAGTAGGCCAAGCCGGTCAGTCAGTACTAATAATAAATACAGAGAGAGGAGCGACAGAGAGAGTGAGAAAGAGAGAGATAGAGAGGGGCCTATAAGACAAACGGGTACCTAGTTCAACAAAACAGTAACCACCTTCCACACTAATCCAGCTGTTGCCTCGGGAGGGAGTGTCAAAAACATGCAGGGTTGTCTGGATCCCACACATGTTGATTACGGGTTACGTCAAAGTTCATCAAGAAGACATCGTACCACTGCGTCACTGCGGTTGGGATTTATTGCCAGGGCTGATCTGAATTTGGACTGAATTTTAAGGCATCTTGGTATGTACTGTCTGTGTGCAATGCTTTGTACGAAATGAAGGACTGAAAGCGGTTCAAGCGCGGACTGAAAGAGTTGTGCAACTGATTTCCACCGATTTCGGGGTGGCTCAAAATCACTTGGACGGATTGAGTCAGGGGTTTGCATTTAATTGGCACAAATTTGCATTTAATTGGTACCACTCGTTTTGTTCCCTGCTTCCTTACTCCCTGCGTTCACTCCCTCACTTTTGCTTGCCCACTCGTCCACCACGCTGCCCGCCCTAGGTTGTGTGTCCACGTCGATGAAAGCGGTGGCGTCTACTTTGCCCCAGTTCTATGGGTGCCTCTGGCTGGCCACCGTTTGCGGACGCCATTGTGTGGATTGCCGCGTTGGTGAGGTTGCCCAAGTCACGATCTTGAGGTAGGTGGTGGGTGGGGGCCGGCCGGGGCGACGTAGTCAAGTTCGGTCCAGCAGGGTGGCCAAGCCTCCACCCGACCATCGCCCCCCTGCACTGCGCGAAGGCCTTTGACGGTGGCGAGGGTGGCACCTTGTCAAGAGGCTAGCTAGAGTGAGTTAGTCGTGCATGGCTGAGGACATGAATGAGTTGAGAGAAGCCGCTGCTACGCCGCTTCCTGCCGCCATTGAGGTAGATGACGACATTGCCAATGTTCCTCAGGCTACCGGTAATACGGGATCCCCGACTAAAAGGACCAGATGGGATGAACGGCCGGCGGGGCCAGGGATCACACTCGCAGATCTCACCGCAGCCCTAGCTCCTCTTGCGGCTGGCATGCGTGACCTGCAGAAGGAGGGCTTCAAGGACATGCGCGCCAGGATGTCGGCAGTTGAAGAACAGGTCACAGCGAAGGTTGGCCAGGCGCTCGACATGGTCAAAACGCTCAATGACCGCCAACAAGCTCAATCCAACCGCCTCGACAAGCTTCAGGCTGCGGTCGAAGAACAACAAGACCGTGACAGATCGCAGGAGGACATCAAGGAAGTCCTCAGACGGATTGACTTCCTGGAATCGGGGCAGACCGCTGGTGCGGTTTGGCGCCCGCAATTCTTTGAGGGCGACCCCCCTTGATGTGGCCAGGGCACCTGCCTGGACAGATGGGATGAAAGTACAGAAGCCGATGATATCGTGCGCGTTGCCCGGGACTTTGCGGATAAGGCGCAGCTGGATGTTGACATGTCGGATGCCTTCTCACCGGGGCGTCAACGTGGCTTCGTGGTGATACCCTTGATGCCCAGACTGGGAGAAGATCGACTCCGATTGCAGCGGAGAGCGATCCAGTCTGTGGAGATTGTCTGCAAGATGGCCCAGGCAAGTGGAGCGGTGGAAGAAGCTGGCAGGGGTAGGGGCCGCCCGCAGGATTGCAAGCGCCGCGTCCTGGCTGGCTCAATGGACTGCGAAATTGGAAATGGACAGGAAGGTCATTGCGGACCGCTGGCAAGGAGCGCCATGCCTGGGAAATCCAAGTCAAAAGGGAGTGTTGACCCCGCCTCCGGCGTGACTGCCAGAGAGCGGCTGAACCGGGAGCCAGGGATGGCTACCTTTGAGGTTCGGTTAGCAGTACGCCCAGGGAAGGCGACTCTTTGGCAAGGCGTGCAGGGAAATCAAGATCATCAGCTGCGAAGCCAGGTGGAAGTGTTGCCCAAGAGCTGTACAGAGAACACAAACTGCAGACCCACAGAGGAGCCTTCCGGATCGAGGCTGTGTGATGTTCGCAGTCGGCAGACCAGAGGACAAGGCAGAACCAGGAAAAAGCAGGAAAGGTGCGCCTCTCTTCGCCCGAAAGAGTTGGTGAGGTGTTAGGTCCGTTGCCTGCGCTCGGCTTGAACAAGTGGAAGTCGTTGCTCTGCAAGACGTCTCCTGTCAGGTGGGAAAGGTAGTGCGGAGTGGAACAGTGTTATGGGGGAAAACAATACGGACTGGAGAGGCAGGCAGTCCGTAGGAACTATGGGAGCATTGTACACAAGGAAATGGGCAAGCGTGCGCTGGGGGTAGTAGTGAAGGCCCCGGCAGGCAAGGTTGGGGTCCTGAGTGTGCACCTACCCCCCAAGGCAACCATTGCTGAGACTGGAGTGATCACGAGTGAGGAGCGACGTGATTGCCATGAAACAGCAGCATGTTGCCTTCTTCGGGGACTTGAACGAGACCTTTGAGCGATGAGATGGTAGGCCAAGAAAACCAACATCCTCAAGCACAAAACCTCCAGAGGCGCCATCGTCCTGCAGCGGATGCAAGAGCGAGGTGTAGAACCATTAGAGCAGGACATTGCCACTCCCACCAACCCAGAAGACTAGAGTATGTGTTCCTAGAAGAAATGCTTGCAGGAGAGCAGGGAGGCGTGCGCAAGCTCAGGCACGTGGTGTCCAGTGATCGTGACACGGTGGTGGTGCAAGTGTGGGAGGGTAGGGCGGAAAGGCACGAACCCCGACAGGAACAGAGCATCCCAGGGACCTAGACAGTTGAAACCGAAAGCAGTCGTCCAGGGAATCTTAGAAGCAGGGAGCGAAGTGCGAGGAGATGGCCTACATCAACTGCAGACGATAGCCAGGAACATCACTGAGCCGAAACAGAACCCCTTCAAGTACAGAGAGAGCAGGGAGATCAAGAGAGCACGCGCCGACGCCATGAGGGTGAAGCGCATGCCGCAAGCCAGAACATTATCGAAGCAGGTGTGGAAGCTCAAGAAGGGGCGCGAAGAGGAGTGCGGAGTGGCGGCGGGAAATGCTGCAAGAAGTCCTACAGAACAACTGGCGTGCACTTCCCTCAAGCTGTCAAACTCTTAAGCGAAGAAAGAAGACACATGGTGTCAGAGGAAGGTTGGGAGAAGCAACTCCAGGCGCATTTCGAGGGGATATTCCACGAGCAGGATGGAGTCAAGGTAAGGGAGCAAGTTCTCAAAAGCTGGCAGCAGTTGGAGAAACAACGCAAAAGCCAGCCATGGAAACCTTTTCTTTAGGCTGCGAGCGGTTACGCCCAAGTGGAAGGGTGGCAAGGCCACGGGGCCGGACGGAGTGGCTCTTGAAGCACTGAAAGTCATGAGCCAGCACGAGCGTTGGGAGCATGTAATGGTTGAGGAATTTAGAAACGCGCTATATCCCAAAGACAGTTGCCCCCAACAATGGGGTTCCGCCCGGCCAATTACCCTTTCCAGTAGCCTCCTCAAGATGCAGTCGCAACTTATTTTGCAAAATAGATGTGGCCAAAGCGTTTGATTCAGTGGCCCAGGACAAGATGGCTGAGTTGGTTGCCAAGAAGGTTGGGGTAGAAGGTCGAAAAGTTTAGGAAGCCAGACTGCGGGTCGAGGTGCTGATCAACACAGCCCTGTCGGTAGCGGTTGACGGGAGGGAGTACCCGGTGCAACAGTCGAACTCATTGCCCAGTCATCTTCGCGGCTATGGTTGGGCAGGTATTGAGAGGTATCGGGACCTATGCCTACACACCCCAATCGCGCGCCGCCCGGAACGCCAGACTTTGAGGCGTAGCTGTTTGGCTCGGTGTCGTGGGCCGGTTTGGTGTCGATGGGGTCGAAGCACCTTGTGGGGATGGGTGTTGAAAGGATGGTGTCGGGGGGCCCGGTGGCGGTGGAGTAGGTGGAAACATCGGTGAGCAAAAGCTGCCCGGTGGTGGGTGTGTTGGTGTCCATCCTATTGCGGATGGTTTTGGGTGCGGTTGGGGGGGTGGTGCATGAGTGGTATGTTGAGCGGAAATGGCGTAGATCGGCTGTGGTGGCGGTGGTAGCGGTGCATTGTGCGGTGTGTTGACCGCAAATCCCATCGGCCCGATGGGTCTGCTGAACTGTCCTGCATTCGGAAACATGTTCACGGTCGTAGTACTGATTTCAGACTTCCAGATCCTACAGCTTGAGCAGGCTCAATGCGTGATCAAAGGACAATCATGTTGCACTGCAAGCAGTTTGCGTTGCGTGAAAACTCATGTCTACACTCAGCTTGCAACCGAAGTCAATCACAAGTGTACGGCTCAGGCACTCTGTGCATGTTTTGTCGCCTGCGCGCCTGTGCTCATGGGGCGAAAATGGCGACCCCCTTTATGGTGAGATGGCCTGAGTGGAATCCCCACACGACCCCCCTTCTCGCAACGATAGCATGTTCCTTGCGTGTGTCCCTGAAATCGCATTTGTAATGCTGATGCTTTGAAAGGATTGTGCCGCAAACCACCATTCCATGCGTGTATGCTTTTGGTCGCTTGACTGCCTGAGCAAGGACCGTCTGCAAGCAGTAATGCGACCAGGGTCCAGGCGTGCAGCGGCCGTACACCGCCGTGGCTTGCACCATCTCCGTGCCCTCCACCTTGAGGTCTTGTGCGCTGGGCCGCGCCAGGTCTTCGGATAAGATGCCCAACAAACCTGTGGGACTTGTGCCATGGGCCCAGACGTATTCATAGTGGGAGCCAGTCTCTCCCTCCTCCATGCCGAAGGTGGTGCGTTCTTTCCCGTTCCAGGGAATAAAGAGTATCTGATGTACTCCTTCTGCAACTGCCATCACTTCGGAACTGATGTCGAGCGCTTGATCGCGCCTGCCGCTACTGAGCAAAATAGCCGCCGGCTCGGAGTATGTTGACTCCGGGACTCCACTCCCAGAACCCGGATAGCTGGGCAGCGTCGGTCACGCTGAACGATACAGGCTCCGGGCGCTCTTCCCGGCGTAGCATCACCGCTGGTTTGACCATCATCTGCGGGTGGTGGTGGTGGTGGATTGGTGGTGTTGTTGAGGTCCACCGTGTAGCTGGATGGTCGGAACCGTGATGGAGGCTGCTGCTGCGAGGGTGCGGCTTCCTGTGTGGACGGCGCCCCTGCCTCCATCTGAAGGTTGGCTGTGTCCCCCTTGTAAACCGCTGTGTTCTGGCGGCGCTCCATTTGCTCATCCTCTCCTCGGTCAGGTGCGGGTCTGGTGCCGGTGGGACCTGCTGCGGAGCACGAAGGCTCGGTCGAAACTGTGATGACTCGAAGATCTGGATCGATGAGCTCTGGGTCGGTGCCTGTGGGCTCTTCGCGCTCTGTGTCGGTCTTGGCGGCGGCTCCTGGATCGACGGTGGCGTTGATGCTGTTGCTGTGTGCGGCTTCTGTTGCGTTCCTTGGGGGATGGACGGCGCGTCTGCATCTCCCCTCGTGATGCTGTGGGTGGTTCGGAACGAAGTCTGATCTGGCTTCCAAAGGACGCGTGATGGTGGTGGGCTGTGTGTGGCCCAGGCTTGTGGGCTGCGTGGATCCACCTGCTCCTGCTTGGAGGTTTGGCTGCAGGATATTGTGTGCGTTGCTGCGCAACGCCTGTTGGTCCTGCGTCTCCAGCTGTGCCAAAACAGCCAACTGTCTCGGGGTGAGGGACGGAAAATTGGCCTGAGTGTACTCAGTTGGGTCCCTGGGCAGGGCTGTCTGTGCTTGTGCAGGGTGGAGCTGCGGCATCATTGGCGTCATGGTTGGTGCAGGATTGGCTTGTTGCTGAATTGTTTGGATTGCCTGCAACGTTGGGATGTGAAGCGCAGTGGGTGCTGGGTCGGTGAGTGGGGCTGCGAACGGCATGGTTGGCATGGGGAACTGTTGCTGGATGGCGGTCGGTGCCGGCGGTTGTTGTGTTGTGATCGGGGCAAAATGCGTGGTTGGTGGCTGCGCCAATTGCTGCATCTGTAGCGGATGGGGATTCCCCATGCGCGTGTAAAAGCTTTCCTGAGGTCCCGCGGACC